CTTCAACACGTCTTCAGCAAGTTTTTTATGTTTTCTGAATGCTTTTCAAAAACACATTCTTCAGCTAAATCATTAAGTAGAAAGTTAAAACAGAAACGTGGCTTCAAGTCAGACACTAAGTCAAGATCTGCACTACTTAAAACTCCAACAAAGAGGTCTTTGTTTTGTTTGTTGCTACAAATATACTGTTGCGTTGCGGGTGTGGAGATGATGGACCATGTGTGGTGGAGCAGATCAGGAGGTGAAGATGCAGGCTTCAGATAAAGTAAAATGGTTTTAACGGTGGGACGGGAACGAACAGCACAAGACAACGATGACAAACAACCACAATGATCTGACTAAGACTGATACAAGGAGGGAGGTATAAATACACAGTGCAAATGAGGAACACATGGGCAGGTAAACAAGGGGCAGGTGAAAACAATAAGAACTAATCAAGGGCAGGAGAGAGACAGTCAGTGAGGCAGGGGCAGACCGTGACATATACTGGTTAATGCTTAGTGAGTAGAAACAGTGGTTTAATATGTAATAAACAAAGGGCGACTCTCTAAATAAACCCTCTGTTTGATACAAAGTCCTTTGTTGGAGATTGCAGTAAACAAGAGAAATAGGGCAGGACAGGAATGCTGGAAGTGGAGAAATCAATCAGTTAACCTTCATAAAAAAAACAGAATCTCTCCATGCCTCGGTGTCAAGCTCCTCACTGGAGGCTAGTTTCTTCAAGCCTGATGTGCTGCACAGCTCTGAGGCTTTTGTCTGGCATGAGTGATGTGACCATGGAGTACGCTGTCAGCTGCAACAGTTGTTTACACACACACACACACACACACACACACACACACACTCAAGGGTTTGGCGTGAAGCAGAGGCAATAACATAACATTCAGCTGAATAGTAGAAGAAAAAAGGAATAGGCCAGTATTCAGATGCCAGATAGAGACCTTTCACTCCTTATTTAAATCTAACCTGATGTTTTGATTAGCAGGTACCCAGATGACAAACAACATATGCTCCACAGCAGCTACAGCATGATTGCATTCATCAAAAGCTGCAGCTAAGATTCAATTATTATCAACTATTCTGACAAATATGCTCTCAATTATTCATTTCTCATTAAAATTAACCACAATATTGCATCTGCAATCACACAAAGCTGAGAAAAAAGCCGACTGATGCTGTTTTCTTGATCGGGGTGTCTCTGTGGGTTTTCCTCTTTTGATGCATTTATCCTCCTCATGTCTAGCAGGCAGTTTCTGTCCACAGCACATCCAAGTCTCTGAGAATGTCATTAGTTAATCCTAATAAGTCCACACAGCGTCCTGCTATGTGTGCTAAAAACATCCCACAGTGTGGGATATAACTCGCTTTAATCCTCTATCCTCAAATGCGCGAGTATGTGGGAAGGTGCAGATGAAACACTGTGTGTGTGTGTGTGTGTGTGTGTGTGTGTGTGTGTGTGTGTGTGTGTGTGTGTGTGTGTGTGTGCGTGCGTGCGTGCGTGCGTGCGTGCGTGCGTGCGTACGTGCGTGCGTGTGTGGAGGCTAGAGTAAAAGAAGGTGAGCGCTCCATTGACTTGTATTTGTTTATCACTGAGCAGACAGGAAATAATCCTCCAGTGTGTTGGTGATGTCAGTCTCATCATCTACAATAAGAGCAACATCTACAGTGTGAGGTTGGCAACAGTCGCCGTGGCGATTGATCCTTCTCGACAGCACCGTATGTGGGATTAGAAAGAGCGGGCGGGGCGGCTGGCTGAACGGGTGCTAGTTCATCTCCGGTGTGTGTCTGTGTGTTTAAGTCTGTGACTTCACAGGAGAACAGAAGGGAGGAGGATACTGAAAACAGAGAACAAAGACAGCCAGACATCATGTGCTGTTCAGAGCAAAAATTACATCACTGCCAGCTGTAACCTACACAGAAAAGAACCCGACAGGAGGAGGATTAACAATCCCTGTAATAAATAGAACTAGCATGCTTTTAAACGTTGATTTTAACCTTTTATATGTAGATTCTGGAGGTGTAAGGATTGTGCCTTTCTTAGTGCACACACTAAAATACAACATGGCAGCCTTACAGACGGGATATGTTGGATTCACTTTTGGACAATGGAAGAAGGTGCTCATGCTTGACCTACCCTTATAATCATGAATGAAATGCATTAATATTTTAATGTGTCAGTGACAGAAACTACATGGGCTGAATAATTGTGTGGATAACTTGGTACGTGTTTATATTGACAACACTAAACACCACTTCCTGTGTTTAGCTGTCAGGATGTAAATAGTGGAGCTGCTTTTGCTCTCATATCATCACTTCAGTCTTTTATTTTTCTTCCAGTAAAATATGAAATAAATGTTATATGTGAAGATAGTATTTAGAAGATTGATGATGCTTTTTATTTAATATATTTTTCTTATTCCCTAATGGTTTCTGACATTTTAATTAAAGGTACGGTGTTGTTTTGTTGCATTGTAAATAATTAGCAATTTGGTGTGCACCAGGGGCGTGAACTCGAGTCACATGAGTCAGACTCAAATAATTAGTCTTATGACTTTAGACTGAGGTACAGCCAATCAGATTAGCCAGATTTGCTAAGCCAGCCTAACCCTTGAGCTTCTTTTATAAGACAGACCATCGCGTCATTAGAGTGATAAATCCGAATTTGTGGGTCTCGTAAATGCGGCAAGGGGAAAGGTGATTCTGATGCGCTTAGCCTCGTAGTAATATTGCCGTATGGGCCCCTCGCCTCTGATGGCTAAACGCGTGTCAGCCCCGCTAATCCCTTTGGAGCGACTGTGGGAGGCCCCCCCGCAAAAGAGGGTGGTTGCGTTAGTGACGTATACTGCCGAGTGCCGACCGGAAGGGATATAAACACAGATAAACATGGACTCTCACTAATATCTTTCAACCACCTACAACATGGCAAACTGGACGGACACGGAGACCATGGAGCTTTTGGCTGTGCGAGCGGACAGATTAGTCGCCTTTTTACGGGGACGGTGAGAGACAGCCAGCTGTTCGACAGAGTGGTGAAAACACTGGCTGAGCGGGGCGTCAAGCGGGACAAAAAGCAGGTCACATCAAAGCTAAAGGTCCTGAAAAAGAAATTTCATCAGTCTGACGTGTCTTCCGTCTGACGCTGAATGCGGGACCCTGTACGTCAAATGCGGGGGGGCCGCCAGCGACCTCCCTTTATCCCATCTTGGTTGGAGAGGTGCCTGATGGCAGTTTATTCAAGCTTGAGCTTTGCTACTATAAATGCCAAAATCCTCCCCAGGGAGCCGTGGCAAATCCCATTTTGCAAACGCTATGGTCCTGTAAAAACAGCTTTGGTCTCTGTAAACGGCGCTGCAGCCCAATAGTATTATGCTCCAAAGAGTCTTCTTCTGGGTACATGCTTTATTAATTTGTTGATAAAAAAACACAAAGGAAAATGTAAAGCATGAAAGAAGAAAATTACAAACTGAGATGGAACTACTTTCAACTTCGTTCGCCAATTGAAGTTGCATAGATTTTGTTAAGGTGAGATAGCTAACTTAGCTAACCTTAAGAGCACATGTTTTCTGGGCCATGTTGATTATACCATTTGGCTTTGACATACGTGCTGTGTTGACAAAAAAATTACAGCCGCTTCAGGTATGAAGACAGGCCAGATGTCCAATTATTCTGTGATAAAATCATGGTGCAGGAGAAGAAGAGCACGGCACAGCGAACATTCAGGACTCAGGAAGTGGCTAGGCACAACAGAGCAGCATGCATTATGGGTGATGTTTTTGCTGGAGTGTGTGCTGTATTAATATTGCATGGAGCGCTGGATGAGAGTGTGTGTTTAAATGTACTCAAAGAACCAAAGGGAGCGAATTCTAGCACTCAGTATCTGCTGCTTTTCTCTTCATGAGGACAACAGCAGCAAAGATAACACGACTCAGGGGTGGCACACAAACCGTGATTCAAAATTAAGGAGAAGATGCAAACAAGTTGAAGCACAACTAAGTCACTCTGTGACTAAAATACAATGAGGAACCATGCACAGCAGTCACAAGTGTTCAGTATTTATCCCTGAGCACTGCTCCTCCCTCCAGGACTGTAATAGGACCCACTAGCAGCTAATGCTAAGAGCTAACTGGTAGAGGCGAGAGCTGAAATTAGATCAGACCATAGTGGGGTGTAATTTTTTGCGACATTAATGTGCACGATTCCTGTCAGCCCCATCAAACATTCTAAATGTCTGGTATGAACCCCTTCCAGGAAACGACGGTCCTCCAGCTCATCTCTGCCCTCCTCCTCAGATGAATTTACTTCCTGCCAGGCTGCTCGCTCAGCCTCCCTTCTCCATCTGTCTCTCCTGTGAGCTCTTGAACCTTCAATATTTGTCTAAAGATACTCTGCCAATGTCTTTTATCCTCCCTTACACACTCTGGTATCCCTGCTGCTTCCCTGATAGTCAACTCATCTGTCTTTTCCCATTTCTTTCAATTGCGATGCCATTTTCATTTAAACTCCAGCCTGGCTGTGGCTTCCACTCTTGAATCGGTAACCGACTGTGGGGTAGGATGGCTGCTTTGAATAACAAAGCACTTAAGAGATAAAATGGAAAACAACCATTATTTAGAAATCTCAGAGAGGAATCTGAAATAGACCAGAATCCATTTACCTCTGGCTTTCTTAGCTCTTCAACAGCTTTTACCATCGTTTCTGTCTAGTATCCACTCTTTCTAAGATTATTGTGGATTTAGCTCGCTGGAGAATGCAAAGGTCACGGAGGCTGACTGGAGGGCTCAGTGATCTCATTCACAAAGATGCAGACCATCCTCGACTTGCTAAATACTCTCCAGAATGACTTCTAAAGAAGCCCTGACAAGCTGTGTTCCTCTGAGAACGATCTAATGTTCTGACGTACTGCAAAGGTTTTACCAGCACTAAGCTGACCAGTAGAACCAACTTCCAGCTGTGGTTCAGTGCTGATGCATGATGGATGTGACTGAAGGGTCAAAGCCTACCATCATGGTTGGGGTTGCCAAGCGTCCACGGTTCATCCGAGTCAAAGTGTGTGTCGCCTCCGATCCCCGGTCCCGGAAAGTAAGCGTGGGCCAGAAAGCCCCCCTCGCCATCAAAGGGTGAGCTGTCGCCATGGAAACCTGAAGCAAAGATGATGGTGATGTCCACGTCCTTCTTTGTTTTCTCCAGCTCGATGTAGGGCACTGCCTCGAAGTGCAGCGGCGTCACGCTTTCCCACACTTTGAAGGCTCGTCGGATGGCATCGTACGTCTCCTCCGTCCCGACTTTGGGCGTCGTGTTCTTTATGCTGCAGAGAAATCAGAGGGTGGACAGAAGGATGAGTTCTGATGGAACTCCTGATGATTTTCTTTTAAAAAAACCTTCATTCTGCTTCTTTACACTCATCCGGCTCACCAACAGTGAGCTAAATAGAGCGATTTGTGGCAGAAAACAGCTGAGCACACCCCTGCCAGCTCTGAGTTCCAGCAGGTGTGTCGAGGACGAGACAATTTCCTGCCACTGGAATTTATTTTCTAATTAAGGATTATTAACAGCCCACTGCCTGCTGAGAACTCTGGTCTGGTTTGAGCAATCAGGAAAAAGCACTCTGAAAATACCACAGGATCACGCTCTATTAAAGGTTCTCCACGGGCTGCACGGATAGGTATAGATTACCTACACTCACAAACACACTTTACCTCTTAGTTGACAAATACCTGGGAAACAAAAGCCGGTCTGATGTTCTTCAGCAGGAAAACTCACGCCTGCATCAGATTGCATTTACCACCAAAGTCTGAACCTTAAAGTGTTTTACGTTTCTTTTCTTTTCCATCCCACATGTCTCCTTTGTGTACACTCCACCGCCTCCTCTCCTTCCCTTTTTTCCATCTCAGCTCTTCACAATGTCTGTGCTTGCCTGTCAAGCTGTCATTTTCCATAATAGGAACAAATATGATTAGAAAGTCTTTGTTGCTGAAAGGCACAGGTATATGTGCTGCATGTAAGATTACATTCAAACACTGGGACATAAAGACTGGTTACGAAATGAAAATATTCCGGTGAACAAACATAAACGTCTTTTGTCTCATAAGACATTTGTGAATAGTAGAAAAATTGCTACTGGATATTTACTGATTAGCTTATTGAAACAAATTCCAGAAAACTTTTGAGATGAAGACTGACAAATACCGACTCCACAAACACATTTGTATGTAATAAATAGAGCTGATGAGCAGGAGAATCATCTCAGAGAGGAACATGAGACGCCTGTGTTTGTTTTGGTGGTTAATTCTGGGTCTGCGGAAAGATAAAAACTCCACTTCCTCCACTCTTTTCCAGCGCTGCGGCTGAGTCTGAGAGCCCCTGGCAACAACTGTAGCCACTTGAGGATAAAAAAAAAAAGAGTTGACTTTATTTGAGTTTATGACCCGGCTCACTGCGTCCTCCTCTAAAGGGCCGGGCAGATGAAGACAGAAAGTCAGCGGGGAGATGTTAGGAAACAGCAAATGAGGAGATTCCCAGGACCGCGCTGAGGCTATAAAAGATATTAAACTCCATGTTGAGATGTGATGATGACTCCGGATGCTACTCATGCGCTGTAATAGCACCTGCACACAGGGAGAGCAGTGGGGATGCCAGAGCTAATTAGCGTCTCCACACAGAGAGTCCTGTTGGTGGCTACACACCTGGGGCGGTCATGCAGTTGCTATGCTGTTCAAATGCCAGCCACGTTAGTTAGGATTATTTTAATCTTGGGGGGGAAATAAGGGAGGCTAAATTGCTTCCATGCTTTAGATCATGGAGGACGTCTTCAGATAAAAACCTTCAGATTCTTCTGCTGAACGTTCCCGTTTTGGATCAAAGCAGCAGCTGCAGGCGCATCCGGCTTCCTGCTGCAGGATGGCCACACGTCCTCCAGCAACACAAACACAAACCGGCACACGAGTGGCTTCACAATGCTCCAAACGTATTACATAACCTCTCAGCATCAGTGAGCACCCTCTGCCCTCCACTAGGGGTTCCTCCCTTCCTCTCCTTCCCATCGTTCTCTGTGCACCTGCTCCTCTATCCCCACTTTCCTCCCAACCACTCCTCGGCTCAGATCGGTGCCGACACAGATGCGCTGCGTGCTCACCAAACTAATTTTAAACCCAGCTGAATTTTTCATAAATAACAGAAACAGGAGCGTGAATCTAGGTCCTGAATGATCGTATAGGTTATATTTAGTGTGTAATGCTAATTATAAAGTCACCCTAAGGCAGAACAAAAACAGGAAGAAGAAAAATACACATTTCTGGGATTATCTGATGAAACATGAAGCTGGGGGCTAGCGACGCTACAGCTCCATAACACATACCAGCTGCAGCCACCAGTAAATGAGCAGGAATATTCTATAACCAGTGGACATTACTGCTCATGTAGCTGCATGTCAGGAAAAAAAAGCTTGTGAATTATGAAACGGCCCTTCATGTACACTCTTTTCCCATTTGCACCACATGTTCTGAGGAGAATTAGGCTGGTTCCCCGGAGTGTGAAGCCTGGAGAACATGAGCAGCTCTGGACTTTGGTTGAATCCAGATACTGAGTTTTGTGTTCAGGTGTTGCTTTTTCTACTCTGTAAGAGGAAAATCCTTTTACAGACAGGTTCATTGTTGGTTTAATTAGTGTATTTGCAGTTGTTTCTACAAAGATTGAACGCCTTCTAAGGAAAATAAAGCTCTGGTGCACCATTTTCAGGAACTAGGAAATTGGGACAGTAATGACAGCTATGGAGGCTATCTTTGCCCAAGAGAGGAAGGTTTATCCCTCCAGTACTTTTTCACAAAGTTTCACAGAAATCCAACCTTCAGGACTGCAATGAACGCCTCTCTGACCCGGACGGTGAACCGTCCTTAGAGGGAGAGCACGGAGATTTGAGAGTTAGCTCAAAGTAACTGAGCTATCTCTGCACTTTTGTGTCTGAGTAGGCATTTCCTCTGGAGGAGAGTAAAACAATTAGCCTGTCTGAACCCACATGGGTCATGATGGTCAGTAACAACATTAATATTCCTGTAGAAGCCCATAGCCACCCACCTGTAAGTGATATATTTATGCTGCCACTTCTGGCCTGTGAGGGCATACCGCCTTTTCCTCACACTGAATCTGGACACGCCTCCTACCTGGTCAGGAACCCCGCACCTGGGCCTCTTCATCCACCTGCATGAAAAAGGTCAAAAGGTCACAATTTGTTTGATCTGAACCAGGTTATACATAATGAACCTAAACATGAAGCATGGGTGTAGGACACGTGAAACTGGGATATGAAACAGAACACAGACGAGGCGCCTCACCTTACGGTGTCATCGCTACAGCGAGCCACAGAAGCAGAAAGGGAAGAAGCAGAAATATTGTTAGCTTGTGATTTTTACTGGGTTTGGGCCCAGCGGTTGAACAGCTGTTAGTCTGCTGGCCGCCACATCGACATGTTACAGTTCAGTGGCCAATATGAGCTCATTTGCTATTTGAAGCACAGATGGTCTTTCACTGTTGGTGAGAACAAATGTGAGTGAAAGCTGTTTTAGTGCTCTGCAGGTATAAAATACCCATAAACAGCCATTAACCTGGGTTAAAACGGCTTTAGGTTAATAACATGATTGTCGTTTAGCACTGACTCTGAATGAATGTCACGCGTGTTTTAAAGGTTTATAAAATCAGGCAGGACGACCCGACCTGTGGCTGGTGTGCCGCCGCCTGAACCAAACACTGCCCCTGTTCTTCATTTCCCTCCACTGAGCTTTAATACCGAGACGTTTTGCAGCCTTTGATCTGACATCAGAGATGTACTCTCAGCAAAAAGGTCCCTTTGATCAAATTAAAACACACCACTTAATCTTTGTCAGGACATCATTATGCCTCCTAAAATCTATCTGCTTGCTTTTAAAATGCAAAACATGACACCTGCTTCTTCTATTCACTTCGTTTCTGTCCAGACTTCAATGTGAACTCTGATTTTAACTCCTTTACAAATGACGCAAACTGCTTTAACATGTTTCACTTTAAGGGTTGTCACGGTGTGAAAATTTAACCTCACGGTTATTGTGACCAAAATTATCACGGTTTTCGGTATTATCGCGGTATTTTTTTAAACATGTTAAATTTTCAGGAAACTAAATAAACCCTGTGTATCAGGAAAATATTGTCCTCAGTTTGTGTCTAAACTTTGCCAACAATTTGTTATTTTGTAATTGTGTTGTTTATTTGTTTACATACTTCCACTTTAGTCTTTAAAATAACAATATTTGCCCATAACTTATTATTTTTTGTCTGGTTGATGTCATCATTTTAAAAATATTAGATCAGATGATACTCAGTACTCAAGTAACTTCTAATCAGTTACTTTTTTACCCTTACTTGAATAATAAACCCTATATCAGGAAAATATTGTCCTCGGTTTGTGTCCTTCCAGTGAGCTTTGCAGATGTGGGGAAATGTCATCAGGCAGTAATCATTGTTAAATTTATAATTATTCTCGGAGAGAGACCAACTCTTATCTGCCCCTGGGAGCCCCGTAATGCATAGCATCATTTCAACATGGGGGTGTCCGCGACACGGTTTATATGCAGGTAGCGGCGCTGCGGTTGCTTTATATAGCGACTCGTTGCTTTCTCCCTCAACCCAAATCCTCGGATCACGCATTTTAGCTAAAACGCTAACGTTAGCTTGCCTTGCGTTGACTGTAGAGTTGTGGGTGATGGCCACGCAGATGTGTCATGAGATTTGAAGCGTTGCTGCCTTTCACAGACACTTTTTCTGCACGTGCTGCAAACAGGATAGCCGTCTTCTATCAGCTGTCCCTCGGCATTCTTCAAATATCCAAAGAATGTCCGTACTTCCGACTTTGTCTTCTTTGAGGGATAATAAATGTCCTGAGTGCTGCCGTCTCCTCCTTTGGCCATTATTTCAGCTTTAGCTTCAAGAAAGTTTTGGTCGTAAACAACAAAGTGCGCATGTGCTGCCGGCAACTTCAACAGATGATACGGTGGCTGGTAAGGGTCACCGCGCCTACACCGCAGCCACGGTAATCCACCGAGATGATATAGTTTTTAAAAAACAAGACAGTTATTATTATTGTCAACTTTTTTACCGGGGTTTACCGCTACACCGGTTACCGTGACAACCCTATTCACTTCTGACTGTCGGTTATTTATAAATACTGAAACAGAAAAAGCTTCCTGCAGTTTACACTGAGTTTATGGTGAAGTAGCAGCTAGCTTTAGCATGTTCAGTAGCAGTTTTGGCTAGTGATATTTTTGCTGAAATAACAGCGTGACATAAAACCTGACAGCTCTGTCAGAGATCATAAAACTGTTTGCATCAAAGTTGAAGCTGTAATGGAATTAACGTCTACTTCTCCTGACTGAGGCTGTTCATTGAGCCATCTACAGCAGGTAAGATATTAACTGTTCCCAAAGTTCCCAAAAGAACACCTGCTGAAGATCAGAACCAGGTAAAAACAGCAATAATCTTCATGAAAACTGAGCATGTTTGTATTTTTTTGCATTTATTTCTCATGTGTTGTCTCTAAAATGTCTACAAGTGTCTAACTTACGCTTTCGTGGTGCTGTCCAGAGTCCCCGTGACATTTAGGCCGTAGCGGCGCTGCATGGCAGCGATAGCAGACTGCATGACTCTGGCAGAACGCAGCACTGACATTCTGGGGTCTGCAGGAGGTAGGTAGCCATACCTCTGGAGCCACGCCTAAAGACAAGAAAACACAATAAAATACGTTACATAACTGATGCTAGAAGGTTTTACAGCCCCGAACTACAGCTTAGCCCTTAGCTTTAAAGATAACTGTGATGCTAAAGCAGCTTAGCCTAGCCTAATGACAGACAAAGACAACCATCATGGTTCTGTTCCAAGTTAAACAAACTTTATGCCAACAATGACCCTCGGTATCGGTCCAATAAATAAAACTGGGCCAATATTAACAGCCAATATTTTTTTCCATCTTGTTTCCATTTGTTTTTCTGTTTCATAAGGTCAGGGGGTGCTGTGTATTTGTTTAGTCACGTGACAGTGATTGTTATTATCTCAGAAATTTAAATGTGTGTGGCGTGTGTACACAATAATGTAAATTTAGCTTTAATTGTTTTCATTCTGTACAAAATCGTCTGATTTTAGAAGCATTAATGTCAGTATATTGGTATCTGCAAATATCGGTTATTAGCCATAACAGTGAAAATAATTTATTTTACCTTTATTTATCCAGATGAGTCGATAAATAAAGGTTGAATTAATTATTTTCAATGTTATGGCTAATAACCGATATTTGCAGATACCGATACACTGACGTTAATACTTTTAAAATCAGAAAAATTTATATAAAGTATAATATCGGATATCATTATCAGCCCAAGAGTTCATATCGGTGCATCAATAATTTAAAGTCGTAATAACAGAAAGCACAAGAATTAAATAAAATGCTAATGAGGTTATCGAGTTATCCACAATAATCTATTCAGGCTCCGCCCACCGCTGCTGAGATCAAACCCAAACCATATTTTCATTTTTTCATCTATTTACTTGTTTAACAAAGACCAGGTTTTATTTTTAGATGTTGTATTTTGTGACCAAAAGTAAAAAATAAAATGCCACAAAACTAAACTGCGTGTTTACTATGAACATTTATACTTTAGCATCCTCTAAACATTTGGCTGATTTTATTGTTTTTGTGCAAAACAAGCAGCATAAATGAATACTAAACATGTAGGAGTGTTACATAAATAAAAACTGACTAAAAAAAACACAGTAGCATAAATAGAAAAGAAGACGCTTCAGATTATATAAATGTTTCTGTGGGGTAAAAAGTAAGAAAAGAGCTAAAAGAGAAGAGTACCTGAGCTAAGAGCTTACATCAGATATCAGACAAGAACCTCCCTCTACCTTCTGGAGTAACCCCAACCCTAAAAGCTTCAGCAACATAAAAAAAATAAAACACCAACGCTGGACCAGTTTAACTCCTGGAAATGTTGTGGAGCTGCTTCTGTCATCCAGGCGGCGTGCTGTTAGAACAGCATCCACCCTGAGAATGAACTCACCCAACAGAGAGGGAAGCACGGTGGGTCAAAAGTGTTACTAGTGAGGGAGCGTCCTGTTATTATCCTAACATACAGCAGCTTTGGTTTAATGTGTGACCAAAGTCTGGTCTCAAAATGACATCACGTCTAAAATTTGCTCTAAAGATAACACGCACGCATTATCAGCAAGGCTGTAACATTTAATCACATCTTATTTAATTCACATGACTGCATCCTGAGGTGGTCACTTTTCACGGGGACAGTTATTACTGTTGGACACCATGATGAAGAAACTGTGTGATGAAGAACATATTAAAGAGAACAGTGAAAACACACAATGTTTACTACTAGAGAAACGACAGATTAAAGCAGAATTTATTAATGATAGTTTAATTAACAATAATGACCAAGCCATGGCTGAGATGAGCTCATTTACATCAACGCACTTGTATTCAGTAGAACTTCACAGAAGCCAAAACATCATAAAGTTCAGCTCAGGAAACCTTCATTCTGAATATTTTATAGCAAACCCCAACAGGATTAAAAATAACTCCTTCAGGAGGTCCAGCCTCTGCTGACTCCTGACTGTAACCTCTATCATCTTCTGTCTGTCAACAAACAGCTGGGACATGCTGGACTGGAAAGCATCACAGGAAGTAGCTCTGTGTGATGTACATAACAGGCTTTAATCCTGGAGTTAATAGTAAAACATAACAGAAACACACAAAGAGCAGACAGATGACAAAACATGATGATTTAATGAACAGATTCATTTTTAAAGGTTTGAAATGAATAATATGCAAGTCTAGACTCATTTATCTGAACTGTGATTTGCTCACACACACACACACACACACACACACACACACACATACACACACACGTACAAACATTAATTTTGTTCTAGAATAAATTTGTCTTCCACCTTCCTCCTCCTCTCCTCCATCTTTTTCCGCCTCTATCTCCTACTGGATGCTCCCATCCATCTCCCCAGTGTATCGCTGTCTCTCTCTACCTGTGCTGAGCGAGCGAGAACATTATAATGTTTGTCAGGTTCGCGGGTACGACTTTCATTCAGCTGCTCCACTGTCGAAGCATCACCCCCACCCCCCTTCCGCTCTGATCTGGCACAGTCCTCCAAAAGCTTGGATAAAGGCGCAGGCACACACTCATCACAGACAAACATGCTGTACTGACACACACTAAAGCCCAGCGACTCAGCAACAGAACCTGGTGATGAAATGGTACTAAACAGTTCACAGCATGGGGGGGTAGCCCCCTCCATCCGTGTGAGGCTGCCCTTCAGAGGCCAAAAGCCAAGAAAAGAGAGGCAAGGTTTCTTCTTCCTGAAGCTAAATGCTCCATGACTCATCCTCCTTAAAAGTGAAATGACTCCGCAGCCTGGTGGGTTTGGGACGACGTCTTAAAATAAAGGAGACAATGTTTCTTTATCAGCTGTTCAGTTTATGAGTCTACTTTTGTAACATAAGAACTAGAAATCAGTAGCTTCAAGCGTGAGCAGCTCTATCAGAGGCAGAGATGTGCTGAAGCCATCAGGGAACCCGTCTTGTGTTTGTCACTCCGATGCTGACAGCTTATTGGATGGGGTCGGTGCACGTGCAGGAGGTGAGCTCTTGTTCAGAGTCCCATATGACAGCGAGACGGCAGGAGGGTGTGAGCGGCGGAGCTGTCATGTTGGAGGATTGTTTTGTATGTGGGACAGACAAACTAGAGAGCGATGAAGCGGTTCTGCTCAGAGGCTCGTCTCTGCCAACAAAAATGTGCTTCTGCGAAAACGAACATAAAGCTTAAAACAAACGGAGTCACTTTCAACTACGTCCGCTTCTTAAAAACTTCAAACAGCTGTTTAGCATTACCATCCTGATGACATCACTATGATATCATCAGGGGTGTTTCCTAAAGCCCGCCACAGTCTCTTTTTTGCTTTCTGTGATTTTAAGTCAAAAAGCTTCTGATCAAAATATTGTTCTGTGTTTTGTAACACATAACTTTTGTTTTGTAACATGTAACTTTTGTTTTGTAACACGTAACAGGAAACTTTAATTTCGTAACTTTGAGAAAACAATCTATGTAAAAGTTTCAAATCCTAACTTTAAAAACACAAATCTTGGTCTACAGTTACAAAACTCAAGTCTACAAGTACGAAACATGTTGCCCCAATTCTAGCTTGCTTCCAAAGGGACATTGGGAGAGAGTTCCAGAGTCTGGGGGCCACAGCAGCAAATTGATCTGTCACCTTTGGTCTTTAGCCTGGTGCGCTGCACAACCAGTAGGCTTGATCACTGGACCTCAGGGGCCTGCTGGGGGTGTAGGGACTAAGAAGATCACCAATGTAAGATGGTGCTTCAGTCATTGTAACCCGGAGACATCTCAGGACCGATTTGAGTCGCATTAAGGTCCTTCTACCAACCTCGTGCTTGGATCTCGGATCCACAGAGGGTCTCCTGAACTTGGTGAGGTAGACACTTTCCGACAGATGGCGTCTGATGCTGTTCTCTCTAAGAAACCACCAAGTTAGCTGCAAAGCAATATTTTTCACCCAGAACGCGTTTCTCTCTCCGAATTATCTTAAAAATTTATCTTTGGATTAAAATATAGACCAAGACAGTTGGTGTATGAACTTCTATCGATTTTATTAATATCCTAGATATTAATGCATGATATAAGTTCATATACTAATGTGCCTGGTCTTTTCTCAGGATCTAACCAAACTGATAGCAAACAGTGTTAAATCCTAGTATGTAGATTGCCCACGCTACAGAATCTTTGTTTTTTTCACAGTGCGCCACTCAGATAAACAAACAGGGAGGTACGTCCTCGGTGCATGTTGGGCGATCGTGAACGAACGGAAAGACAAAAGAGTCTGGCGATCATAGGAGATGGTAGCACGGGCACTACTGAAGAGGATCGCAGACAGGAGCAAGGTGGAAAGGAGGAGGTTAGTGGAGAAAAGTTTGAAAAAGTGGCCGGTGACCACGGCTAAGCCAAGCGCAGGCGCCATCTTGTTACCAACCCACTTTAACTACTTTTACTACTTTAACTACTTGAGTTTTGTAACTGTAGACTGAGATGTGTGTTTTTGAGAGTTGTGATTTGAAACTTGTTCATTGTTTTCTGCAAGTTACAAAATGAAAGTCTCATGTTACGTACCAAAAGTTACGTATTACAAAAAGAAAGTTACATGTTACAAAAGGAGAATTACATGCTGCTAAATGAAAGTTACAAGTTACAAAACTTGTTACCATTTACATGTAATATTGTCTCAATCCTAGTTCCATATCTGTTTGACCAAACTGCTCATCAGGAAGTGCAGAAAAGCTGGACAAAAGTTGCACCAGCTGCTCTTCCAGTCCCCTAACCAGCATGATCTAAAGCTTCGATCTGAGAATCAAAGAGCAGCTTCAGCCCAGAGCTCAGGTAATAACACACACACCCTCAAAGATTAGATCAGTCTTTGATCCATCGTGACGATATTTGTAGATCCTGTCTTTTCATTAATATACTGAGCACCGTGTGACTCCTCTGGAAGTCTGAGGAGAACTAGTGATAAGTGCAGAATATGTAAAAAAAAAAAAAATAAATAAAAGTAAAATATGAAGTTCATGAAATCTGACCCCAAAATATGATATGTTAACAATAAAGGGTAAAGGACAGAAC